GTGGATTTTGACTGCCCCAAATCCTGCAGTTGTACCCGTTTACAACTCCATTGATATGGAACGTCGCCTCGTCCGAGAAGCACACTTGGCGGAGGAAATCGGGTGACGCGTCATTTCTTTCTAGCATGTCCACAGCGAAGTTTGTGCGTGCTACTTGGTCAGTCGGTTTTAGTGCATGAATCATTTGAATCTTGTACGCTCTTAGGCGGAGCCTTTTGTTTAGCACATCGTGCACTGTTTTACGTGGAATTTGTAACTGCAAGCTAGCAGCACCAATTGATTCGTGCGGACTTCGCTGGAATGCCTCTCTAATGCGATTGACATTTTCTTCAGAGGTCCGTGTCTTTCCAGGAGATTTTACACGCAACAGACTACCTGTAGTCCTCAGTTTATTGTCCCAGAACCGAAAGCTTTTCCTTGTAGGAGGTTGACGTCCATACTGCTTTCTAAAACGACGCTGGACAGCCGTAAGACATTGCAACTCTGCTAGCCACAACACGCATTGAACCAATTCCTGTGGTGTCGACATCGTTACTGAGCTCGCTGAAGGTCACCAGCTGGCGCATGCGCGTATGCCGGGCATGAAAAAACTTTCAGAGTTTCCCTTTCCGATGACATAAACCGGATACGTGTTTGACAATTAGTTTCCGAGATATAGATTTTTTATTTTGGATACCTTTCATCCGGACACTCTGTATTTCGCTACCAAGGCTGAATCTAAACTAATTTTCCAGCGCAGGCAGCTTTGTAGGACATGATTGGTTACAGGATTTTACAGGCCTCTGTTAGGCAAGTCAAGTTCTGCTGCGATCACCAACCAGGGGACACCAACAGAAATTTCCCCAAATACGTCTTTATTTCCCTTTGGAAGTTAACCACATTTATTATAAACGTGCAAACGAAAACTAATCTCCCTCTGAAATAGTCCACATAAACCCTCGAGGGGTCACTACCACCGCGTTAAGTGTCACCGGTCAACAAGAAAAATCACTCAATGCCGCACTACGTGGCCTTAGTAAGTAAGTAAGTTTTACGTTGCGTCCACCTTTACTGTACTCACTACACAGGAGTCTGAGTGGGTCCAAGACCTGGTCTGAACATGACGGCGAGGCGAACAGAAAAAGATCACTGTTTCTGCCGAAATAGGAACCCTGGTCGTCCAATCCGTGGGCCGTCACTTCTCTGCCTGCTATCCTCCCATCGCGGTCATACTAATATTTGTTAGAAGTCACAAAAACTTTTAATTTATTTTGATTTTATTGATTAATCATGTAGTTCAGTTTGCAAAGCTTTTACTGCGTTCCATCTGGAAACTTTCCCAAAGGAAACGACTTATGGAGTATGGATTTAATTCAGCCTCCAGCGGATTCTTAAACAACGAATGTGCAGCAGCAAGAACAGAATCCGGAGTTCGATTCGCTCTGCCCGTTTGTCATTGTTTACTGCTGTGCGCGTCCTTTCAACTTTTGGTCGCGTCGTGTCTAGAGGAACTGCTGCTCCCTTGGATGTGTTCTGGGTTAGGAGCACGATTTGACGTAACCCAGTGATGCAGCGCTGACATCTCGATGAGATCAATTGACATTCTACTCATGCAGGCGGTGTATTACAATGAGGTTAATTTTGGCATCACAGGAAGAGCTATGTGCATTTGTTTTTCTTGTGTTCTGAAGTCAAGTTGAGTGCAGTGCATAATGGAGACAGTAGTTATTAAAGTGTGGAGCACGAGTCAAATTGGGCTGGAAAACTGGTTCTTCTTTAATGGCTGGCCAGTCCGTGCCTCAAAGGCATCGCCGGTATTGCCGCTTCGTTATAGAGTTTCTCAACCACTGTGCCGCGAAACGATCGTAAATATGCCACGACTTTTGACGTGAATACGTCTTTAAAATCAGACCGACATATGGGGTACCAGGACGGAAACGGCGATGTAACGTTTGCAGAGTGATCCATTCCGACACTATAACTTCGTGACTAATAACACGATTGAAATAAATGTGGTCTCGTTCGATCGGGTATACGACTACGATGCGAGAATGACCTTGAGTTGGCGCCGCGCATGCGCGAGGCGCGGGTGGGGGCCCGCGGCGACTGGCGGCCATTTTGGGCGTTGGCGAAAATTTCCGGGCAGTATATCTCGCGACCCCGAGGTGCTAGCGCGCTGATATTGGTGCCAAACGAACGATTTCGTCTAGATCTGTCGATGTAAGCCATAAATGCTTTGTAAAATTTTTTTGGTGACAAATCAAAAATAAGTCGTGAAAAATTTAAACTTTCTGATGTCGGCCCATACTCACCGAAAAGCCCAGAGGAAATACAAGCAACGCATCTCATCGGAAAGGGCGTCTAATCAGCCATCGATCAGTACCGCCATGTCCGTGGCGGAACGAGTGAGACTGCTTCGGGAACGTCGGAAAGTCGACGCGGCGCGCGCGGCAAACGACGGAGCGAGCATGACTCTGTATATTTGTTATGCTAAATAAAAGCCATGTATCCATTTCGCTACATTCATTTCATTCCCATATCCCAAAGAAAATATTACCCGCTAACGCAGACGTATTCACGTAAAACCCACGGCCGTGTCCCCGCC